CTGCCCGGCTTTTTCCCTTTGGAGGAAAAAGCACCGGGAAATGAAGAAAGACGCATTTCTCTGAGCTTCAAATGCGTGGCTGCCACCGCTGAGTGCTGCTAGCAGAGCGGGCAATCCTGCCGCAGCAAATGCTCTGCAGGGCCACTGGAAAGGGATACGCGAGCCACACACCCGGGGCCAAAGCAAAACAAGAGGCTTCGCCCCGCGACGACGGCTCCCCGAGCGCGGAGAGCCCGCCGCAGCCCCAGCCCCACCCGTGAGTGGTGGTGCTGGTGCTGTCCCGGGGGGCCATGGGGTCCCCACGGAGCCCTTGTCTCCCGCAGAGCACCTGCTGCGGGGGGCAAGCCCGAGACCTGGAGGGGATGCAAAGGCCTGCCTTCCTCGCTGCGTCCTGGGAAAGCCCGTAATTCCTCCTCCAGGGAGCAGGTAGACCTCTTAAAAAAAATAAAAATTAATGTGGGTAAAATGAAAACAGGAGCTTGACGGAGGAAGGACTTCAGCGAGGCTGCCAGGAGGATTTAGTAGCCAGATCCACGACAAACGACGCTGACATAAACTCTACTAGGGGAGATAACCATAAGATAGCTCAAGTTTCTGTAGGAGAACAGCACGCGGGACTTGTGCGCCGGGGAAAAAAATATACCATTAAACAGTAGGAGCTATTTCCAGAGTGAGCAGAAATTACAAATCCAGCGGCACCGACGCGTGACATTAAAGATTTCTGTGCAAAACCCCGAGACAGCGCAGAAATGCCCCAACGTCCTCGGGTGATTCGCGTGCTTTAGAGGGGATTCAGACACCCACCCTCGAGCCTGTGGCCCCGTGTTTGTAGGCGCCTCTCGAGCAGCTGCAGCCCAGGCGGGGTAACATGGACTTTAACTCAGACCTACCAATCCTCGTCCCCCTCTGAAAGGCGATGTCTGCGGCCGGGCAGCATCTCCCGGCCGCTCCCGAAGCGCCCAGGAGAAGGGTCCCGGCCGGCGGCGGGAGCGGGCCCGGCTCCCGCAGGTCTCCCGTGTCGTCGCAGCACAGACAACGAAGGGAACTTTAGGATGGTTTTTTTGTTTATTTGGATTTTTAACAAATATTCTAGAAACCCTTTTTCGAACAATAAAACTGCTGAGCCCAATCCCAGATTTCTAAAGTGTTTGTGCTTCAAATTGCAGTCGGGCGCTGCAGGCTGCTCCTTTCCCGAAAGGTCCCAGTACTTTTTGGGGTTGTTTGTTCGCAGGGGTTGTTGGTTGGTTGGTTGGTGGGGGGGGGGTGGTGTTTGTTTCTTTGGTTTTGGTTTGGTTTTGTTTTTTTTTTTTTTAGTTCAGACCCCATCAAAGGGGCCATTGTGGGGAGTGCGTCCCAAGTTCCCGAGAGCTGTCTTCGCCATTCCCGCGGACGCTCGCTTCTGTTGTGTCTGAGCAGCCGCGGAGCTTTTAGTAACTCTGCAAACGCGGGCATGAAAAGGATGTCCCGGTAGGGCAATGAGGCATGAAATCCCGCTGTTCCTTTACATAGTAGCAACATCCACATGAAAGGGCAAACACCCGACGTGCCACCAAATGTAATTGCAGAGATGGCGGATGTTGGCGTAAAAAAGAGTTGGCGCCGGTTTCTCTTTCGCCACGGACCTTTCCCACATGCACACCCGCGAACGAACCAAACCACCTGCACCTTCCGTGGGATTTAACTGAGTGGAAAACTGAGTCATTGGCACTGTTGGCTGCTAAATATAAGGCAGCTGGGACAAACTTACTGGCGAGCAGAAGCGGCCTCGGCCCCGCGCCGGGAAGGTACTCGCTCCTTCAGGCCCGCCGAGCTCGCAGCCTGTCCCGAAAGGAAAGCTGAAGCCCTCAAACCCTTCTTTCCTCCCTACTCGACTCGCCGATCCTCTCTCCCTCGGGACATAGCAACATCGTGTTGTCGCCGCCTGAAAACCCGGCGCCACGGTGAGGGTCGCGGCTCCACGCCGGCCCGAA